AGGTTTTATGCATATGTAATGCCTATGTCAAAACGTTTTACATTTCTTTCTAAAAACAATGCCATACCCAGTTTATATCACAATTCTCAAAATCATGCCCTTTACAATAAAAAACAAGGAGAAATTCTCAAACCAGTACAACCTTTCATGGATATTTCGTCTGCGAGAAATCATCAAACGGTACCCGTGTAAACATAGCCTATACAAGCGCTACTAATTCCATTTTATGGATATTTCATCCGTGGAATTAGCATCCATGTATACGTGTGTTTTTCAGTACTTTCACTCTAGACACATAGGCCAACTTGATTTGGTGATACACACATCTTTCCCACGTTCACCCATTTTTCTCAAAATCATATACATTTTCAATGTATTAAATGAGAAACAATGTTTAATGCACATGGATGAGAAATTAATTTTAGTTCATCTAATTCTCATGCAATTTCTATAATGCTCATAGTTATCCTCTACCGATAGTCCAAAACAGATATCTTTAATAAATAGAAAATTTCAATAACAATATACATTATTATCATTTCCAAGATGTGAGCGATATAACATATCTAACTTCACCATCATCATCAATATCCTCCATCACCATCATCAAGACATGAGCGATATTACAAAACCAACATCATCCTTCAATATTTTTCCAACACAAGTCAAACCCATGGTTTTAGAGCAAAACCTTTCTTTCATTCAAAATCAATTTTGAGTAGAGAAAGACATCATTCCAATTACATAAAACCTAACATCATTTACATTATCTTTACAAGATCAACATTTGAGATTTCTAGGTCAAAATCCTCTTTTTCTTTACAAATCATTTCCAAAGATAAAAACCCATCACTTCATCATATATTAACAATAAACACCTTTCTACAAGCATTTCCAACAAACCATTTGAAAACTCCTCCTTTTGATTTCCAACCAAAACCCTAGATTTGCCAAAAATCTCCAAAAATCACAATATTGTTTTAAAAATATCAAATAACTAAGTTAAAAATCATAAGAGGGTGCGAAGAATCCCTATCTCAACTTAGAAGAGGAAGGATTAAGAAAAGCCCAAAAGTTGATGGTGGCAAAACAACGATTTGCTCTGATTAAAACGAAGCCATCGACAAGCTCTACACTTAATCTCAAAGGAGCAAGGCGAGGAGATGTTTCTAAATAAGTAGGTTTGAAGATCTTTGAGCAAAAAAATGAGTTTAGAGAGAGAGAAGAAAGAAAAGCCCAAAAGTTGATGGTGACAAAACAACGATTTGCTCTGATTAAAACGAAGCCCTCGACAAGCTCTACACTTAATCTCAAAGGAGCAAGGTGAGGAGATGCTTCTAAATAAGTAGATTTGAAGATCTTTGAGCAAAAAAGTGAGTTTAGAGAGAGAAAGAGAGAGAGAAGAGTGACTCACGGTCTAGATAGAGGGAAGAGAAGATAAAGTGGGTTAGTGAGGGCCCTATTAGGTTAAAGTGAAATAAAGTCTCAAAATCAACCCAAAAGAATAAGTCAAAATCCCCAAGAAGTAGGGCTCAAAACTGAACTAAAATCTGGGAAAAAAAAAAAAAACTCACAAGGGTTGACCATTGTGTTAGTGGTGTCGATCCTTTAGGAAAAATTGAAAAAATTGACAAAAATGACAATGCTGGCAGCAGATAAGGTGTCGACCCTTGGACCAGAGGTGTCGACATTAAAATTTCAGCAACTAAACCCAGATTCTATAGTATACAAGGGTTGACCCTTTCCAGACTTGTTTCGACCCTTGAGGCCAACAACAAAAGACAAGTGTCGACACCACCAAGGTTGGTGTCGACCCTAAATTTCAGTAGCTATTCCAAGAACATAGCAGTAGGATGGTGTCGACACCTTCAAAGTTGGTGTCGACCCTAGGAGCAGAACAAAACAAAGAAAAAGAAGCAGTGTCGACACCAACAAGGATGGTGTCGACCCCTGAAGCCAAAACCAAACATAAAGAGAAAGGAATGACCATCACGAATATGGTTTCCCAAATTCAAAAATAATAAATGGGTCTGGTCTAAAACAGGATCGCTATATGCAAGGCTTGTTTTAAATTATTTGGGTTTCTTAATGGAAGGACCCAATGTTTTATTTAGGCCTGATCCCCTCTCCTATCCTATTAGGGTTTGCATATATGTGTGTGTGTGTGTGTGTGAATCAAAGGGTTGTCAGCCCCATTAACGAGATAACTTAAAGATTCGGAGTATAAGGGGAAGAGCCGGTGCTAGGATTTCCAATTGTAAAAACCATTCCTCAGTATCTCATGATGATGGCGTGATTAAACGGTACATATTTAAATCTATTAAAGTTTAGTTTAATCAGATTATTATGATGTTTTAAATCGTGATATATAGATCCTTAAAATTTTACAAGTAATAATATGGTAATGACAATCTTGAAAATTAAAATCATTCCAACAGACATTTGATTTTAAAATGAGAAGATCAAAGGTTGCCACATCATTCTACATAAAAAATTTATGAGTTTTTTGTTTCTATAACACTAGTCTAGGCATAATGGTGATTCCACTTAACAGCATCATTAACCATTGAGAAGTCTCATATTGTGATAATGGGGATAATATTGGTTTAATAGTGATATTACAAGAAAGTGTTTGGTTTCCCTCAAGTTGTGACTTAAGAGAGCGTTTGAGCTTAGTAAATCTATTTTAGAATCGATTTCGATGATTCGAATCGTTTATTTTTTTGGAATCGTTGAGTAGAATATTAGTACAAAAAATAAGATGATTGGACATCGATAATTATATGTTTAAATCATATTTGTTTCAAAAAAATGAACGACAAATATAATTTCAAGAATAATATTAGTTTCTTTGTAATACAAATTTGATTCAAACATGTAGCTACCGATATTTGATCATATTTATTTTTTACATGAATATTTTACTCAACGAGTCCTAAAAAGTAAACGGTTCAAATCATCGAAACGAGACCAATAGTGGGTTCCATAGGCCTCTCAAGTTCTTTCATGTTAAGATGTGAACATGAGAGAAATCTAACCCTACAGGAAATTATTATTAACAAAAAAAAAATCTCACATTAAGATAATGAAAACTAGCTAATTAGATTCATAGGAGATGAGGGATGCTCTTTATTTGCAATATTTCTTCAAGTTAACAACAGATAAAAAATGTATATAATCTTATTGACCCAATTTTTAATTAGCTGATATTACGAGGTAAGGTTTTGTCAATATGTTTGACTTAATATTTGATACAGTAACCGAGTTGTCTTTGGTTTTCAGGCTCATCAGAAAGTACGGCCGTGGTGTTATCTGAAGAATATAGAACAGAAAAATTTGGAGACTGTGCCAACCCAGAAAATGAAGAACCACTTAGAGCCTACACCTTAATTTAGTTAGTCCACCAGCCAGAAAAGTGACTACCCCACCCCAGTTAACAAGCCCTGCCTTGGTTAATATTTGGGGTAGGGTGAGATCTGGATACATCTGAGTTCCCACTTAACAAGCCTTGGAATTGGTACTTGGGTAGCGTGTGGTCTGGGAATACATTTAGGTTTTTTAAATTTATTTTCATGTGACTCTATAAATTAGGGTGGGAATCGTGACATAATATTTTTGTATTGTGTTATTGCCGGTTCATATCTAAAATATCTCCAATAAATATCTCAAATGTTATATTAAAATTAATACCGTCATATCTATTGAATTTGTTCGGTTCAAATTTGCTCAAATTAAACTCTTCTTAGTAAGAGTTTCTCATTTTAAAAACTCGCGGGAGACTCTTCCTATTTGGGGTAGGGTGTGATCTGGATACATCTAAGTTCCCACTCAACAAGCCCTGGAATTGGTACTTGGGTAGCGTGTGGTCTGGGAATACATTTAGGCTTTTTAAATTTATTTTCATGTGACTGTATAAAATAGGGTGGGAATTCGTGACATATTTTTTTTGTATTGTGTTATTGCCGGTTCATATCTAAAATATCTCAAATGTTATATTAAAATTAATACCGTCACATCTACTGAATTTGTTCAGTCCAAATTTGCTCAAATTAAACTCTTCCTAGTAAGAGTTTCTCCTTTTAAAAACTCGTAGGAGACTCGTCCCTGGTAGAGTCTCATTTAGACAAATTAGAGCTGGACTATGAGTGAACAAACATCGGGTCAGGTCGGGTTTGGGCTAGGCTGCATTACATAATAGGGGACTTTGTGTCTACCCAAGCCCGGCCCTAAAATCAGGCCTCTATATTTGCCCAAGCCTATCTAAAAAATAATTATAAATCTCAAACTCGCCAATTGAACTATATGTTAAAAAAAATTAAAAATTTCATCATTAAATTCAACAACATATTATATTTATTAAATAAATATATTGATATCATTATAAATTAAAAAATTTTGTGTATAAATTGAAAGATGTGTTAAGTAAATTCAATCATCCATCATCACAAATGTGACTTTTAATAAAATCGACAAAGATAAGTCTAGATCTCAACCAAAAGAAAAGAAAAAAAAAATTTAACGTATTGTAAATATAGTTTAATAATAGGTTGGACTGGGCTGGATTGAAAATATAAATCCCACGCATAACCTATTAATATTTCACATTAAAATGTAGGCCCAATTCAGCCCTCTAGGTTAAAACAACCTTCTTAAGGCTTGGTTTGGAGTACACTAAATAATATAAAAAGTTAAAAAGTTACTATCTTATTTAAGTCACATCATCTTATTTAAATTACATCACCTCTCTAACACATCACATCAAACTCAATCCAAATTCAACCCATATAAACTAATAAGTCAAAAAGTACAATTTTTAGAACATTCCAAACCAACCCTAAATCATTGAACCGAACAAACTGATTGGGTCAATGGATGGATATCACTCCTAAGCTGAACAAAGTTGGTGATGAATAATTAATCACTAAAAAAATTCTTTTAAAAAAAATCCACATTCACTACCCCTATCTTGACAAAAAAAAAAAAGAAAAAAAATCCACACCAAACGTGGGCGATCGCCGACGGCCATCAAACGTTGACCTCAATTTAAACAATTACCTTCCCGTCTGTTTTTAAAAATTGAAAAACCCTCTTCATAGCCTTCTCTACTTAAATCCCTCTCTCTCGCCATGTAATCTCCATGCGCCTCTCTCACTCTCTAGTGCTTCACTGTCTCTCTACATGTGATATATATTTACGTAGATAGATACATATAATTTTGGGAATGCTTAGAGACAGAGATGGAAAAAGAGAGGAGCATCGTGGTGCAAGCGGATTCGCAGGCGGAGATGAAGAAGAAAGCGGGGAGCTGTGGGAGCTGGATTTTAATGGACGAGGCGGGGAAGAGCAAGGTGTTGGATGTGGACAAGTACACCATTATGCACAGAGTTCAGATTCATGCTCGCGATCTTCGCATTCTCGATCCTCTCTTGTCTTACCCTTCCACCATCCTCGGCCGTGAAAAAGCTATCGTCCTCAATTTGGAGGTGAAATTTCTTTCAGTGTCTATATATTTATATATTTGTGTCAATCTTATAATATTGATTCATTGATACACTTATATTTGATCGGGTATTGTTTGGCTTTTTTATTTTATTTTATTTTATTTTTTGGCTGGGCAGCACATCAAGGCCATTATTACATCCGAGGAGGTAAGCTTTAATTCTGTGTTCTTATTCATTTACATTTTGCTTCTCGGAAGATGTGTGGTAATTAATTAAAATTATCAAAAAAATTATTGTAAAAAATCAATTTATTCTTTTTATTTTTTACATATGTTTTTTAGTAAAAAATTTAAAAATTATTTAAACAAAATCAATTTCTAAACTATGGTTTAGTGGAAAATGTCTAAAGTTGACTTTTTAGAAGTTGAAAAGTTTTAAGATGAGATAAGCAAATCGGGCAACACAGTAAAATGGAATGAAGTTATCTGGAAGGAAAAGGGCTGGCCTTGGACGTGTACTCCACTATTCAAGATTGGTATTTGAGATTTTTCATAAAATTTAGGGCACAGTAAACAGATAGTTCGTATATTTTGATTTTTATAATTCTAATTAGTTTATTTTTAATTTTAAATTTAAATTTACAATTTTGTTTTAATTAATTAATTAATTAATTAATTATTATTTTTTTGTTATTGTCAAAGTTAGATTTTATTGATAGACAGAAACAAATACATCAACAATCATTATTTCTAACTCTAAAAAGAATTATAATCAAGGTCCAGTATTCCAAATCCAAATATTCGAACACCCAACAACTATAACCTGCAACATACTGAGACCATCAACCAACAATTGTTAGTATTTTTATAATAGAAATTATAAATTTGTTAGTATTTTTATAATAGAAAATGAGCACATAAGTATCATGTTATACTTTTATATGCAAAATTATAAATTTGTTCAACTCAACGAGTTAATCTTAACTAGCTCACTTTCCTCCTAAAATCTTAATCGGTATTATTAATTGAACTAAATTGACACAAAATCTAAACTTAAAAGACAAAAATTGAGCTAATTGAAATTATAGGAACTAAAATGACAAAATAGGCAAAATACAGGAATTACTAATATAATTTGTCCTACATTTTGTTTGGAGGTTTCTCTTCAGTCTCTAATCAGGATTGCAAGACATGATAATTTGAACTGTTCATTTTATCGATCACTTCATGTATTTCATTCATACAAAAAATTAAGCCAATTTGATAATCATAAGCTATTGAATTAAATGCATTTGTCACAAAAAAAATAATAAATAAATACAAACAATTGCGTTTTTTTAAAAAAATTATCAATTTATTCAAGCCACTTTTATTTTTATTTTATTTTTTTTTATTGTTATATTATTATGATTAAATGGAAGACAATTACATTTAAGTTGAGATTAGGGCTTTAAGACCATCTCCAATGGTTACTCAAATCTTTTTATCAAATTTGAATTTGATTAAAAAAGAATTCTTTTCCTGCTCCAACGGTTGCATCAAATAGGTATTAATAAATTGAGAATTTTATTTTTTTTCATCAAACTGGACAAATGTGCACTTTATCAAATTATTATTCATTGCCGTTGACAAATGTGCATCTCATCCAAAAGACGAATCAGAAAATTAAAAAAATAAATCACAAAAGGACATTCGCATAAACTCAAATGGTACCAAATCAAATAAATACAACTTTTTAAAACAAAAAATACTAATTGGTTCATGAAAAAACTCTTAAGATTGAATGGATTAACATTCTGTTTTATGGAATTTATAAATAAATTTTCTAATGTTTTTCATATTCTAATTTTTTAAGTATTAAAGGATGAGTGTGGCATTCCATTGTTTGATGCTACTCATTTTACGCTAAAAATTAGGGTAAATTATATATACTTCATTTGTCTCAAAATAATAGTATTTTTTAAGAAATTTAACTTTTTTGGTAGTACAATTATTGTACTTTAAAAATATTAATTTTTCAAAATTACCATTTGATAATATATTTTTTTTTAGAATATCAATTGTATAATTGTACTTTTTGTGTTGTTAATGAATTTAAAAGAATGGTAAAATAGAAAATTCATATTATTTTAGTCCTTGATTTTTGAAAAGAGACTAATATTTTGAGATAATAAAAAATGAAATAAGAGACTAATATTTTGAGACGGAGGGAGTACATTATTTGAGATTTGTTTAAAATATAAATTGTATTCTGTGGTTCCAGAAATTATGTTCAGTCCTTTAAATTTTTAATTGGATAACAAATAATCACTCTTATTAATAAATTAATAAATCATTAAATTAATTAACTACTTTTAATTATGTCATAAATATATTTTAATTAACAATTTAAATAATTTTATTATCATATTGGAAAGTAGTTAGGAATTTTATAAAATCACTTAAAGCTTTTTTGTAAATCACTTTTTTACACGAAGTCAAAAATCTACAAAACTGAATTTTTTTATATAATTGATTTTAATTCTTCAACCAACAAAGACGAAAAGTTCGGTTCCATAAAATTTTCCTTAACTCCGATCGAATTGAACCAATTACGCCTCTGTTTGGGATGTGGGTTGGCTTTTTGATTTTTTGGCTTTTTTGGCTATTTTAGCCTGGGCTTAAAAGCTTGGTTTGGGAAGGGCTTTTTGGCTTTTTGGCTTTTTTGAGTTTTTTTGTGAGAGAAGAATGTAATGATTATGGGTTGGATGTGATGTTTTGTTTGTTATGGCTAAAATAGCCTATTTTGTTTTTTGTGGCTAAAATAACCAAAAAAACCTGCAAACCCACTTGCCAAACACAGGCGCATCTTTGATTGAGATTCGATGAGCAAATTTTGAAACTAATTTTATTTGTCGAATAGGTATTGCTTCGAGATCCATTGGATGATGATGTTATCCTTGTTATTGAGGAACTACAAAGGCGATTGCCCCTTATAAATTCCATTCGTGAAGGCCAAATAGATGGAAAGGAGTTTGGTGGCCAACAAGATGCTGAAGCTGGTGAAGAAGAAGGTATGACATATTACTTACTCATCTCCCTTTTTAGGAAAAATTACAAAAAGGACCTCAAGGTTTGAATCTTGCAATAAAATAAATCTTAAATTTTAATTTTATCAATTTAGATTCTAATCTTTTAATTTTTTTTTTTTTTGGCAATCTAAATCAGTAGTCTATTTTTGTTAAGCAAAACGTATTGAAAAAGATATTTTAGACAGTTTTCATTCATCTATATTGAGTATAATGACCAAAATATCATTTTCTTTGTCAATTTTTTCTAACAGAAGTAGACAAATAATTTAGATTGAAAATAAATAAATGAATTATAATTTAAATTGACAAAATTAAGTACTTAAAATTTATCTTGTTACAAAACTTGAACTTTAGAGTGTTTTTTTTTTTGGTGATAAGTTTAAAATAAAGTTAATTAGAATAACAAAAAGAAGTCTCCCTTTTGGACATCTTGACATTCTTTCCTGGAATGATTTTGAATAAAATACGTCAAAAATAAACATACGTCAACAAAGAATATAACGAGACAGTTCAAGTTTAAAATTAAGATAAAATATAAAGAAATTACATTTGTAGTTTGTGCAATTTATTTTTTGTGTCAATTTATTTCAAATCAATGATAAATTTTATCAACTTTAATAATTTAAATTATAAAGTTTTCCATCACCTTTAATTTTTGGGAGAATTTCAAAAAAGTGAAAAGTAAAATAAATAAATAAATAAACTAATGAAGGTACCAGATTTATTTGCATATTTAAATGCATAAATCATTTGTAAATTCATCATTTTGTAATTATATTTTCACTCTCTCACTACTTTGATATTCTCCTTGTTTAGTATTGATTCACAATTTCCCCTATAATTTATCCAATAAAATAATATTAAAATATTTCATTTTTTATTTAAATTAGATATCGTAATTGTTTTACTTTAATTTTAAACGTAAGCCGTCCAATTATTATAATAAAATCATTGCAGAGAAAAGGATGACAAGGAATCTTTAATCTCAATGTTTTTAGCTTTCTTAAAAATGTGTTTTTCTCTCTAGATTCCTTACTATCAATTTCATATTTTCAAAATCAATTTTTTTTTTCCTCTCTCATATTATTTTGTGTGGACTATATTTGATATTTTAATAATTTAAATAATGTTTATATAGAATCTCCATTTGAATTTCGGGTCTTGGAGGTAGCTTTGGAAGCCATTTGTAGTTTTTTTGACACCCGTACAACAGAGCTAGAGACGGTTGCTTATCCAGCTTTAGATGAACTCACTTCTAAGGTGCGTTTTTTTCATTTTTTTTTAATACTTTGTTTGAGAATGGATTTGGTTAGGTGTTTAGAAATGTTAAAAAAAAAAAGATAGGTGAAATATGAATAAAATTGAATTAAACTTTTCTGCAATCCATAGTACTTTGGGGCCAATGGAGCCGACCACGGGTCCTGTTTCGAAGACCGAATCGTTCAATGTGTAGAGCACGTCGAGTAATTCATCCTTACTAAAAAATTACGTTAATAAGTTATCGATAGCTCTTTGATCGAAACACATTTTTGTAAATAATTTATTTTTAGAATCATATTTAACATTGAAAAAAATGTGTTACGATCAAGGGGTTAACAATATCTAATCAACGTATTTTTTACAAGAATAAAGTGCTCGACGAGTTCTACACATTCAACAATTCGGATCATCGAAACATAACCCTTAGTGGGCCCCACAAGCCCAACAGTACGGTCCAATAGACAAAGTGGACTGGAGAGGAGTCCATCTCATATAATATAATTACATTTCACTCACATTTTTTCTTTCTAAATTCTTATTTGAATTTAAGATCTAAACACAACCATGGCAGACATATATTAGAGATCAAAATGCAACAAAATTCATACCTTGGAATGTTGTGTGTGTTTTCATCTTTTTGATTTTGCCGAAATTTCATGTGAAATTTCAAAATATTCCTCCTTTCATTATTAATTTTAACGACATTGATGCTAAAGAATGTGAAGTAATCTTGATATAAAAAATTGTTTTTCCACCGGCCTAAGAATAGAGGCTGCAATCAAGTTTGTCAAAAGTGGAGGCTGCAAATCAAGTTTGTCAGAAGTGGTTGCAGCTGTTTGAAATTCATAGCCTCAGCCGTATTTGTGTAGACACCCCATTTTTGACCGTCCTCAAGACTTGGACGTCACCGCTTGGAACACTCGGTGATTATCCATGTTTGTGTTCGTTTGGAGTTCCCGGAAGTCTCGGCTCGCGCGCCGTGCCTCAGGATCTCCGAACTTGACCGTTTAGTGTCTGGTTTCACACCGAACACTTGTGTTTTGCCTTGGAGAGGCAGAGAATGCCTTGTGAGGCATCCCCACACACCACCGGCAGTGGCTAGAGGCTACCGGCTGGTTTTTTTCTGCCATCGGCACTATTTGTTGCCGGTCAGCACATTTTATTGCCGGTCGGCATAGTTTGTTGCCGGTCGGCACATTTTTTTGTCGAAATGACATTTTTGGGCAGCCGACCACTGTTCATCTACTTTATGGAGATATTTTGTGCCAGTTGTGATAGCTGGCACCAACTCTGCCTCCCTCCATACATGTGTATGGAGGGATCTCCCTCTAAACAAGCTTGTTGTATAAGCTTTGCAAGAGGGAGTCTTATAAGAGGAAGGCTCTCCTCTTTGATCTAGGTTAGAAACTTGGAACCAAAAACCAGAGCTTAGAGATCTAGATACATCCTATCTCTATATCTCCCTCTCTCTCCTCCTTTGTGTGTGATTTTTGGCCCAAAAGTGTGTTTTTACCTTACTTTTGCACCATTACACACACTATTACACCTTGCTCCGAGATTGAGGGCCTTGGGGGGTTGATTCTTGAGTTTTTGGACTGGTTTTGATCAAAAGAAGAGGGTTGTACCATTTGTTCTTCAAAGGTTCTTCAGGGGTGAGCATCTTGCTTTATATTCCCAAACTTGCAATAGTTTTTTTACCTATCTTGCTTGCTGATTTAGCTTTTGTGAATAACATGAAAAAGGCTTATATTTTCATGCTTTAGAACTTTCATTAAGGTTGTCTTGTAGTTTGAGTGCAAACTCACCTTGATAGGTCTTATTTGGCCACTTTTGTTGCCTCTTTGGTTAAGCTTTGTTTACTTCAGTGTTTTGATCTCCTCACCACTGAAAACCAGTGTATTTTCAGTGGTAAGGAAGGTGGTTTGAAGTCTTGCATAGGGGAGGGACACCCCTCTCCCTTGGTCTCTCTTTTGTCCTCACTTTTGGCTTAAAAGGTAACATATGTGCTTGATCATCTTTGGCCTCATTTCAGAAGTTTTTTGGGTGTTTTAGGTCATGTGTGACTTCTGTTTTTGGCCGGATTTATTTCTCTTTGCATGCTTAAAGTACTTGCTTTGTATTGCTCCATTTGGCCTAGAAATGCCCCTTGTGTTTAGACCATGATTTTTGCATGTGTTGGCTTGGTTCCATGAAGATGTTAGCACTATTTTTCCATGCTTAAAGTCTGTTGGTTATCCATTTGGTCATGTTTGACATGTTTGATATGGTTGCTATGCATTTTGGCTTGTGAGCCCTCAAGTATATGAGTCACAAGCATGCCTTAGTTGGTCTACTTTAATGAGTTGAAGTTGTTTGCCATGTTATTTCAGTCCCCAAATCATGCTAGCATGCTTGCATTCATCGTTCCTTTTGTGCCTTGAGGGTGTGCCCTTTTATGCCTACATTTGAGCCTTGGTGCATACACCTCTTTGGGGGCCATCTTAGCTGCCATATTAGGAGGGTTTGGAGTCCTATTTTGCCTGGAAAAGTTCTGTTTTTACTTGTCTTGATCATGCCATGAGTGGTCATGTTGGTGGGAGTAAAATGCCTCTTTTTGTACCTTAACCTTAGGACCTTTGGTTTGCTTGTTGGCATGAGCATTGGTCCACTTTTTGGACATTTTTTGCCGCTGTTTTGAGGTGGGTGAAGGTCTGCCCCTTTGCCATTTAAGGCCCCCTTGCATGCGTGTCTCATGTTTGTTGCATGATTGTTTCATTAATGTGTAGTCCCATGCTAACTTTATGACAAATTGGTCCATGTTTGCATCACATTTACACCTTGCATGCTTAGCATTGCATATTTGTCGTGATAGTTCCATAACATTTGCCATGACTTGAACAATTGGCATCATGTTGCATTTGAACCATGTTTTCATAACATGCATTGCATTGCTTGGTTTGGGGTGTCAAACCAAGTGTGAGTATTAAGGAGTGTTCATACTACAAATGATGAAACACGCCTTAACTCTCGGTCGCCGGGGCCTTTGACTTCGACATGATAAGACTTTGGATCTCATTTGTATGTTGCATGCATCTTTACATTAAGTGGCAAATTTGATCCCTTGGGTTATCATGCACCATTGATGGCTCGAGGATCGAAGGTCATACTTCCTTGAGCTCAAAGCATAATAGGAAGCATGACCATGCTCACATGTGCCTGAAAACCCCATGCCATGCATTGTCTGTTCTCTGTTTGCTGTCAAAACTGTCTTCTGCAGGAAGTTTCTGCCGACCGGCAGAATTCAGTGCCGGCCGGCAATCTTTGAATGGCCGATAAATCAAAACAGTACCGATGGAAATCCTGGACTGCCGGTGGGAATTCTGTTAAGCCGGTGGTACTCTGCAACATTCAAGAAACCTGTCCTAGGGTTTTGGCGATTTTCAGAAAGATAGGGCAGTGTAAACAGAGGTGGCAGAGATATGGTACGGGTTTTTCAGGCGAGCCGGGTTTCGAGCACGCATCATTCGCGCATCCCGAGGCAGAGGCTGCGGCCACCCTCTTCTTTCTTTTGCATTCTTTCTTTTTAATTAATTAGAAATTCTGTAATAATTTTATTTGTTTATTATTTGGGACTGTAATATTTATTTGGGCCCTCCGAGTGAGGGCAATGATGTAATAAATGTGGGTGAGTGCGTGTATGTCTTCCAATCCCCACTTCTTTCTTCCCTTTTATTTACCTGCTTATGATGGTAGACTAGGGCATTTTTGAAATTAGTATACCTTATGCTATGCATGCGTGCATCCATGCATTTGTATTGCATGCATTGGACTCGGTACATCATGCTAACTGCATTCGTATTTTCAAATTCCAAATTGAATACATGAATCAATTGGTTGCATTTCATATGCCATATTTAGGTTAACCGAGCCTATTCTAATTACATTTTTGCATGCGATGCATTAGTCATTTTAACACGAACTAGGACATGCATATTTGCTAACTAGTTTACTATTTTGGCACGGAGTACAATGTAAGTAGTTATGCTTTAGCATCCCGCATGCGTGTGAGTGTTGCCATGACAGTATGCTTGCCATGTGGCTAAGTGCTTATATGAGATAAAACTGTTTGAATGCCTGTGGGTGAAGGGTGGATTGTCTGAATTGGAAAAACTCATTAAAATCCGTGTTTTAGCCTACTTGCGAGTAGCAAATTCCAAAACGCTTTCCAAAACAAACGGATATGCAATGTTTATTTCCAAATTAGGCAATCTAGTCTATACTTGTTTGCTGTGCGCATAACATAGTAATTCTAGGATAATAATTGGAATAAGAACACATAAAGTTTTCAAAAACGGATATCATAATTAGTAGAGGCCGGTCTTCGAACCGGGCGAGAGGGGGTGCTCATAGCTGACCTTCCCCAATCGTACCTTAGCTCCCGAGCCGAGACAACTCCGGTGATGACGGACATGTGGCATTCGGCACCGAGTCAGGGTTTCCTAAATTCCCCCAAAAATAAAATATTTAGGTGGCGACTCTGTATCTGGCAAAGCAGTCCATGTTTGGCACTTCTCTTTTCAAAATATTTGTTTTCTCAAAACGATTTGCCAGATTTGGACTCTTTGGTTCAGATTAAGAACCGCGACAACAAAATCGAGTCCGAACTGTAGTAGCATAAGGCCCCCCTCCGCGGGCGTGTCTACAATTTGCATTTAATGTTTTCACATTGTTAGTTTTATCTATATATAGCTATTGTATGTTGGGAATTCAGAGTGTGGGAGAAATAAGAGAGTTAGAGAGTAAAAAGTATGTTTTTCATTTCCTCAGTGTATTCTAAATATTTGAGTGAAATAAATCTGTTTTTCAGATTATACATTCTCTCTTGTATTTGTTTTGTGAACCACCATAAGTGGTTTGCACCCCACTTCCACTAACAGTGGTATCAAAGTCGATTTTGTGTGTTTTCCAAAAAACAAAGTGTGTTTTTCAAAAAATGTCTAGAAATCAAAGTAGTTGAAATC